GGGGCACCATATTTTTCTCGGACAGGACTTACTGTAACCAGCGATTAGTTTCGAAGCATTCTTGGAATGACATTTTTTTCATGCAATTCAAAGTGAAAATTTCTCCAATTCAATCGCAAAACGCATACTGTAACTGGTCCATGATCTATTATTATTTTCATCTTAAATTAAGTTCTCACGTTTAAACTATAATTATCCTGTTGAAAAATATGTTATTCCAATAGTGATTCAAACTAATCGCCGGTTACAGGAAGTCCTGTTCGAGACAAATGTGTTTTCCCGGAGAAATTCTTTCGACAGAATTAAAAATATTGAAACGTTCATGTGGAGTTGCGATAAGAAAAAAAAGAAAACGAAAAACGAAAATCAAAGATCGAAATGTTCTATTTTTTGCCGTTTGCGATTTGTCTCATTGCAACTCCTCATTGACGTTTCAACATTTTTAATTCTGTCGAAAGAATTCCCCCGGGGGAGTACATTTTTCTTGGACAGGACTTACTGTAACCAGCGATTAGATTAGTTTCGAATGTTCTTGAACTCCTAACACCCAATTAAAGTTTTTTCCGAGACGTGACCGATGGCCTAAAAAATTAAGATCAAAAAAAGCAAAAGATCACAGCCTTATGAATTCCCAACAGACAAATCGGTGACAATTATTGCTTTTTATTGAAGGACTTTGAAATTCTTTGATCTTTTAAAACTTCATTCATTCCATATAAAACTTTCAACATGATCGTTATTCTTTTTTGGCACTTTTTTTAATTTTTTGGAGTGCTCAGCCAGGCTTTTCAAAATTCTAAAAATGTCTAGGTTTCTATTCTATTTAATTTTTTAAACACGTAGATTTTATCATTAATTTTTATTTTTCAGCTTAGATTAATGTATTGTCTTAGCAAGCCAAGAAGATGCATTAAGCGCAACACTATACAGGGTTCCGATTTGAAGGATGGATCGCAAGAAACCAAAATTCAAAAACATTTGTATTTTGAACTTATTTTTAATTGAAAAAAAACTAGCTAAAGTTTTTTTTAGTCACCGATTTGAAGGATGGATCGCAAGAACAAGAGGACCGTAATCTTGGAGCTACGCAAATGGGGAAAGAGCTTAATGGGCATTGTGAGAACGACCGATTAGGTCAAATCTACCGTCTGGAAAGCTATTAATCGATACAAGATATTAGGAGATGATAAGGACCGACCCAGGAATGGCTGTCCATCGACCAACGTCACGCCGAAAAGTTTTTCCATTTGATCTACTAAGTATTTGAACGATTTTTTTTTATATCTGGTTCCTCTTATCTCATGATATTTGACGAATTTCTCTTTGGTTAATTTGTATTGCCATATCTGTTGACAAAAATTGCACCCAATCGTCCTCCGCCCCCAGTTGGTTTTGTACACAAAAACGGGGAAGTGTTTCCAAAAACTCGATTTTAGGCAACGAGGGACGTACGAGGACAACGAGTGAATGTTTTGGTCGGGGATTCGCGAAATTTTGGAGGTGCTTGTCGTTGGGTCGATCATAACAGGTTGGCTTTGTGGACAGACTGCGTGTATCATTTATTCATAGCCATAAACATAGCAAGAAGTCTTCTCCTCTATGTACTTGTGCAAATCTATCAAATAACCATTTTTCTAAGCAGACTCTTTCATTCTGGCTCCCAAAATTAATAATCTGGCTTTGGCTCATCGCCAGGCCAGAGGTATACATAGAAGCCAGGCCAGGCCAGAAGTCAGATCAAGGACTTTTGTGAACCAAGCTTCCAATAAACTTAGACCCATAGCACCCACAGCCAAGCCAGCCAAGGCCAGTCTTGACTCCTGATTTGAACTTGCCTTCTGCCCCTGCCTCTAAACAACCCTTATCTAGTCAGGCCTAGGTAGAACATTTTTTAAGCTTCAAAATCAAACAAGCTCGTACTTTCATGCCAGGAATAATTTTTGATCTGATGTATCAACGTGCCGTCAGCTTCTAGACAGACTCTCTTACCTGAGATGTTGCCCAAAGTTTAAACTTTTTAGACTATACAGTAATTTAGGCGAAGTCTAATAGTAAGTACGAGCTAGAGTACTTCCCTAGCCTGCACTACAAAGAAGTGAACCAGTCTGATCTTGATATGACCTTAAAGTACCTAAACTTGTTGGTGGACTTATTTTGAGCATTTCTTTACTATAAAAACAATTCTCTACTTCCAATTCCAGCTCTCGGCAATGTTTGCCAAATGATCAAGGTTGATCTAATGTCTCAACGTGCCGTCAGCTTCGGGTCAGACTCATCTCAACCGGGACTCCTTGAGATCAGTCCGGATACACTTTCGCGATTTCAAGCTTTTTTGAATTCCGGATGCGCCTTGGTTAGTTTTGTTACAAAAAGGATAAAACTCATTTGCATGCAGGTGCTTTTTATTGCAAATTTATCCTTTTTATGTTCACAAACCTTTTCGCGATTTATTACTCGGCCAAAAATGATGACTTATTGCTGAGTGTTCGGTGAGTTACTGTACTTTACTGAAGCCTCAAGTTTAATTCTAAAGGCACTCAGCTAACTACAGCATGAATCTGCATAGGCTCACAAAAAAACTTTTTAGACTAATCCTAACGGGCGAAAAAGTGCAACGACTCGTCTATACGATATTTAAAATGGCGACCGGCCTGTGCACAGTCTTTTTGAATACTGGGTAAAAAAACCTTATTGGATTTGTGTATGATACTCAAAACCTTGACTATTAGTGTTATTGTTATTGTTATCACCAAGAATATACCTGAGAATTAGATTGAGATAGCGTAAGACATCAATGGATTGGCTCAAATTTTCTGCTTTCAGTTAGGATTAAATATCTGGCTTTTTTCTGGCACCTGGCTAAAGCCATCAAAAATATTTCCGCTTTTTGAATGAAGCATAAAGAATCTTTTTCTCAAAGATTTCTCACGATTCTGACAATTTTGCTTTGCTATTAGGTGGAGTTCTTAGATTTCGATGAAAAATCGTAGACCAACCGATTTGTTTTGAGTATTTGGTTCATATATTGAGCCATATAATAGTGCCAAGTGAATTATTTACTTCTAATTTACTTTGCCCCTTAAAGAAATTTCAACTGCAGATGTGCAAGGGATGGCATCGCCGGTTTTATTTTCAACAATTTTGGGGTTTGTTCGTCGTGAACGCATTTTGTCAGATGTTCGTCTCAATCAAGTTTCAAAAAAGTGCACTACTTTCGAAAAAAAGTTTTTAGTCGCTTAATGGCCGTTTCTTTCGATGGAATGTTCTACAAGTATACAACAAAACATGCCGTACTCCAGTTTCTCATTTGCTATTCGATAACGATTTCTCTTTTCTGCGTATCGGTGTTTGCAAATAGTGTGATAGTGAATATTTATGTGACACCAACCCTGACATATTTCATGATCACAATGGATTTTTTCACTTTTTTAAAGCTCCGAAAAGTAAGTTGAAGTAATATTTCTCAAAAAATGCGAGATTTAGCTGAGTAACTCCAAAGCAGCTTCAAGGGCGGAGAGACGTTTAATGATTCCGGTTGGTTCAGGCTCGGGACACTTAATGATCAATTGGTTACTTGGAAATTGAGTAGCAAAATAATAATCTCCATTGGCTTCTTTTTGCCAAAACTCTAATAGTTTTTTTTATCCATTGACCCATTCTATTAGATCTTCGGAACATACTAAGCGAGTGACAAAGTGCTTTTCAGATGATCGGTAACTCAACATTCTTTTTTTCGAACTATTTTGTCTCAAGTCTGATCACCATTGTACAATATCCATTCTTTGGCTACTGCTTATCAGGTGTGGCATTGCAAGTGAACTCAAATGTCTCCACATGTATTTACACGCTTGGACTGAGGTTTTGTCGTACTTTCTCAGTCTTAACTTTGATACCTTTGTTTAGTTATATAAACATGGTATACCTGAAAAAGAAGGTGTCTTCATCGAGTGAAAAAGAAACATTCAATTCTACTTCTTCTCAATCCGGCAAGAGTACAATGGTCACCAAGACGAAGAGCTCGGGCTCGACACCCAAAAACTGATTTCATTTGTTCGCGAAAAACATCATTCAGTTCAGTTTATGCAAAAATCGAACATAAGGCTCAAGAGATATTCAGTTGCAGAAGGCGGCTCCATTCACGCAGTAACCACCATTCATATTGCCGTTTGTCGCACAGCAAGCAGCGACGCTGTTCTGAAAATGAACATTTTTGAGATGAGATCATATGAGAAAATTGTGGGAATGAGACTAATTTTTCGAAATAAACCTTTATCCCACTCTTTTACTCACTCTTTTTATACTCAATCTTCGATACTTTTATTCAAATTCTCAAAACTCACCGGGCAAGAAGGGTTACATTTTGTGAAAGCTTCAGCGCTGATCACGGAAATCGAAATTTTATAAAAAAAATTTAGTTTCTTTCTTGAAATTCTTCTTAAAGCTTATATAAATCCAATGATGGAGAAAAAATAAAGGGCATACCCTTCAGTTACAGTATTTACGGTAAGTACTTTTAGTTTTTAAAAAGCAAAACCACTTTTCGAAAGATTTTTTAGGTTTTTAGTTATGCGCATTCTCGTAATTTTCAAAAAAGGTCACTGCGCCACTGCGCCACTGCAAAAATCTATTTTTATTTATTTGCAGAAAAAACATTTTCAAAAAAGAGCGTGGTCCGCAGACGAAAAAAACGCTCCGGTTTCGAATGGGTTAAAGTTCCTTAAATAAGTCCGCTTTCATTTTGGTGCAAAGACTCATGTTTTTTTTTTGTTATTTGATAGTGGCTTTCTAACAAATTTGTTTATTGTAACAAACAATAACATTAACTAAAAACTGATTTAAACAATCTCGGCATCATCATACAGATTCAAAGAATTAAAACTTTTGTTAAAAAATTAAACTGTCGATATCCTCAATTTCGTTTTCATCATCTTCGCCAAGAGCCTTTACAAAGCTATGTACGATTGTATCATCGGAAATGGCGCCAAAACTCTCACTCATCAGTAGTGTTGGCCCTCGATAGCTCGATGTCTCGATGGTTTCTTTTTGTTGATTTGTCGTATTCGAACAGCTTTCTCGTCTCTCCTTTTTCTTCTCCTCTCATCTTTGGACGCCGATGAGGCGGTTGAACGAGCCGGTGACGGAGAGATGTGTTCTCTGAAAGAAATAAATATAAATTTAAGGCAAATCATTTAATTTTTACCTTTTGATTTTTGCTGCTTTCGCCAGTTCTTCCTTTTTCTCCTTGTCCTTTACCGATAGTTTTTCTAAAACATTCAACATAATTTCTCAAGTAAACCCTCCCCCACTTGCTTACCCTTTTCCTCATCATCCAACTTTTTCGCAAGCTTGTTTGATTGTTGTTGTTGGTGTTGATGTGTGATCTCTGGCTTCTCCTTGACTTTCTCCGGTTTTGTCGACGATTCACTCATTTCTTTCTCTGACCGATCATCATTTTTGTCCTTCTTCTCACGGACATCCACGGACATCTTTCGGGGTTTCGTCTAAAAAATTAAACTCATTTTTGTCGATCTCACTTAAATTTCATTTAGTCATTTCACAATCTTCACCTTATCCTTGTCCTTTTCTTTCTCCTTCTCGCCTTTCTCCATCTTCTCCTTCTCTTTTTCCTTTCCTTTGCCCATTTGTCGTAACCGTAATCGTCCTGGTCTTCTTCCGGCCGGCATCGTCAATTCGCTCAATGACCAGCCCAAACGACGAGTGTGCTGTTGACTGAACAAGAGAAAGTACCTGAAAAGGGGTAGAATATAAACTAAATGATTTGAATGAAATAGCCGTTTCTATAAATGTTTCAGCAAAAATTGACTATTTTAAGGTAAAGGTTCCTCAACAATAGGATATTAAAGCAATTTTGATGAGAACCGCAAAAATTTGAACATTTTTAACTATTTAAGCTGCTTAAATTGCAAAAAAAATCATCTACCCCTATAAACCAAACCCACTGATGATAGGGGGATTTGAAGGTGGACGGTGTGGCACCCGGACATCCCTCTAGCTTCATCCGCATTAAAACCTGTAAAGATTTAAACATTCAATTGCACTAATAAAGTAACCTTTTTCCCTTTTGCCTTCGCACACACTTGCTTCAATTCGCCAAGACGATGAACAACCTAAAGATACAAAATAAGATTTCTGTCAAAAAAAAGGTCACAATCTTTACACGAAATTCTGTGGTTTGTGAATGAAAAATTGGTTATTTCGTTTAGAAGAGCTGTTAAGGGTAGTTTTCTTATCTTTTTCTTTTATTTTCTACCAATATTTTCTGCTGCATTGTCTTATTTAGGCATATCCACAGGAGAGAGGTCGAATCTGGAGCAATTGGAGGCTCACCTCCTGGAGATGGAGCAAATGACGGCGAAGATCAAACCGAAGCCGGCCTTGCCCGTACTCACACAGAAGCGATTCGCGATGCAACTGGAGTTCAACCCGGTATTAGACCTCGCGGAACAACCAGTCGAAGAGAATTTGCAACAAGTTAATAAGCTAATCAAGGAACGCAACGCCTTGTTGATCGCAGTTGATATGGACTCAAAGGCATTCGAGCTGGCTGAAAAGGTGAAACTGCTAATACAAGCCGATGCTAATACAGTCTAGAGATATTCTCAGGTTGTGAAGATGGGAACCCCAACCGGTATGGCCACTTCTCGTGGATCAGCACAGATGGGGCAGAGACTTCATTTTGAGTCTAGTCTTGAAGCAAAAATCTTGAAACCTTCGAGAGTTGCTAACACCGCGTTTAGTAGAGAATTTATCAACTAGCCGTTCATTTTCGTAAAATTTGATTTTACGCCCCAGTGGACTTTACAGTTCTGCTACCCGATAAACCAATTTTTACAATGTGCATGAAATCAAATGAAATCCCTCCACGAAACCGATAGAATTTGTAGATGTTGAGCGGTTTCCCACCAAGCACCGGCTGTTTGTTGATCGGAGTGGCTAAAAATAAATTGGTAAAGGTAAAACTTTTAAACAGACTCTTCTTGAAACTTGTAGAAATGGGCGACAAAAGTATCACGAGCTTGATCAAATTTTTTTATCCGTTTCATCGTCAGTCGTTTCCTCCGAATCCTCAGAATCACTGTCGGAAGTGGCACTAAAATTTGAGCTTAAAATTAATAGAATTGTTAGACTGCCCCTTCAAAAAAGAATAGTTAACTTTAAAGTTAATTTAAGGTAATGTACTCATTCTATAGTTAAATTTTTACGCCGAATTGTAGTTGGTAGGTCAAACCTGTTTAATTTGTAAGAATCCAATTGTAAACCTTCAAAGTTTAGTTAACCTTCAATTAAACCCACTCTTTGTCCTTATCCTTGTCCCTTTCTTTCTCCGTCTCTCTGTCCTTTTTCTTCTTCATCGTTGACTCGGTCAAGATTTGTTCTTTGTGATTCCATGATGGCGGCAAAGTTTTTCCTTTGGCTAAAATCGAGTTCAATTAGAGATTTTGCTAAAAGATACATTCCAAGAAATCCTTTGTTCGATTGTAGGCTGTCTTATGTGGTTCTTTCTCGAATCCGGCCAATGGTTTCGCGGTGAATGGCTTGAGAACAAGGCGTGACACCGAGAAACTAAAGAAAATTGTTAAGATGGGTCGAAATAACGTTGTTCTTCAGCAAAGAAGCCAAGGCTTGCTTAACTAGGATAATTTTAGCAGGATAAGCTTTCATAGCTTTCATAAAAATTTAGTTAGCAAGAGCTTGTCGACGAAAATTCTTAGCCTAATTTAACTTTACGTCTCATTTTTCCTTGAAAACCACTCACTATCGTCCCTCCAACATGAATCCCCTCAAAGGGATGTCGTTTCCCGTCAACGGTTTCATCGCTTTCAACGCTTTGTAAATCTAAAACGACAATTTGGAGTTTTTACATAAAATAAATCAACCTTTGGATTGACGACAACAGCCAGCGAGTAAGTTCCCGTCTTTTTTGGATCTCTGCACACCATCACCAAATCGCCAGGAGCCTAAACATGTTAAACTTAAAATTTTAAATATTTTCCTCACAAAGCCAGTCGTCTTTTTCTTGGGTTCTTTGTCTTTTTCTTTGTCCTTGTCACTTTCTTGGGATTTTGCTGCAGATTTCTCGGGAGTTGCCTCTTTTCTGAAAGTGGACAATGTTACTAGGCCCATTTGCATCTTTTTTTATTTCTAAAGCTTTAATAAGAGCCTCAGTCTCTGACCTCAATCTTTGTTTAGACAAAAAACTACAGCTTTTGCCCACTCACATCTCATTGTCACTGTGTGATTCGTCTCCCGTCTCATCACTCGTATTATTCTCATCCTCATCTTCCACGTCATCTTCATGATTTTTTTCATCGACGGAGATAATCCGCCATGTTGATCGGCCAGCGCGGCTGCAGCAGCCTGAGCGGCGGCTCGTTTTTGACGGACAGTTTCTGAAAGAAAGAGATTGCCACATGACGAATACTCATTAGACAAGTCTACTTTTACCGTTCTCTTGTGTACTTATTCTAAGGATCAGCCTTCATTTTAATCTTTCCAAGACACACTTTTTACCGTTCTTCGCCCATCCTAATCCCCATCTATGATTGTCCTTTTCGTTTCATTCTTCGTAGCGACTTTGCCTAAAATTTCATAATTAGTCCATAAAGGTGACTGACTCTTTAAAATCTAGGAAGAAATTTCGAATTTTGGTTCGCTTTCCAAAAAAATGCAACTTCTTCCTAGCTTTCTACCAGAAAAACAAGAGGGGGGAAATCACCAAGAGAAAAAAAAGAGAGCCCGATAAAAAAAAATCGTTAGATTTTGTGGGAAAAGCGATTAGCTGGAACGAAGTTTAAAGTTTTAAAGTTTAACGATGAAAATCCAATTTTTCTTGGTAAAGGCCAATTTTTTTAATCTTTTTGAACCCCATCACCAGAGTCAAAGATTGGTTAGCCACTACCAACAAAAGCCATCATTTTCTAGTGCAAACACACAAAAATCAAGACATCAAGACAAAATATTCCAACGTTTCCGAGTGACGGGAAACGATAAAAGATATCTTTTCCCCTTGATAACGGGACGTTGAACTCAAGCAAAGCTCACTCACCCGAAATTTGATGTTCTTGAATATCCGTTTTACTTTCGCCTCGCAGCAACCTCCTTTGAATTTCGGAGAGACCTCGGTGCCGACCTTGAGGAACGGTGGTTCATCGGATTAACAAAGGAAAATATATCAAAAAAAATCTTTAAAAATTCTTATCTACCCTTAAAAACTTAAAGAAAACGCGATTTTACAAGTAAAAATGTTGAAATTTTAGCATAACTTCATTTTTTAAAAAAAGCCCGTTTTTACCTCTAATAGTAGCGCCCCCCAGGGGGGAGAGAGAAAAAAAAATACTACTATTCCAGGTAATACAGAATAATGTAACCAAAACCCTGATATTGGACAATTTTAAAACATGTTTATTGGAAGGAAAAGTTGCAATTCATGATTCTAGCAAAGACAACTAAAGATCAACAGAATAATGACACTCGAAAATATGACCTCCAAGCTTAATGTTGCCTGCGACCTTCTCAACTTTTACTTTCTCAATTGTTCCAAGAATGTACTCCTTCTCAAATACGGTCCAAAGTTTCGGGCAATCGAAGGTTGCCAACTCGCGCACAAAAACTTCAACATCTGAGATGATCTGCGCATATTCACTCTCATGAAATTTGCCAGAGCCATAGACGTCTCGGCGCAGCCTAAAAATTCATTCGTAATTAGTAATAGCAATTTCAAATACAATCCGTTAAAAGTTACTCACTCCCGCACTTTATCCCAGCAACGGCCACGCAAATAGTGTTTACGACCAAAGGACAATCCAGCATTGGAAATAGCAAAGTTGCAAAATAAATTGAGGGCATTATGCGATTTCAAATCGATACCACCACAAGAAAGATAGAGTTCCTTAACGGCGTACGCCGCAGCCAGCCAAACCTTTTCAGCAGATTGGCCAAGTTCCGGGGCCGATTTGACCAGTTCGAAACGAGCCTTATCGATGAAAGTGGTGGCCGTGTACTCTTCCATTTCTTTCTAAAATAAATTAATTATGAAACAAAGGTGCACAGTTGTATTGAAAATTACGGTAAAACTCCAATAGAAGAGCTCCCTATAGCAGCGTCCTAAAGTATTAAAGCCTCAAATTTAGAATGGGCGACTCTTTGAGCTGCTTGAAAATCGCTGCAAATCGGCTTTTTTTTCACCATTTTCCATTATTTTTTCTAAGCGCTGACTGATCCTAAAAATATGTGCTATATCTCCAAAAACCACCCATTCTTTCTACTTTAATTTGATACCTAAGCGCGCAGAAACAAGCGTGTTGGTGTCGAGATATGAGCGCTTATTTGAGAGTAAGCCTAGACTACGCGACGCTCCTATAGAGGGCTCTTCTATTCGAGTTGTTAAGGTAAATTAAAACTTACATTACTATGGACACTCCACTCGTTCGGATCCACCAATTTGCCAAGATCCTTTAACTCCTCTAACTCTTTGGGACTGCCACGCCACTCCATTCTGAAAAAGATATATAATTCACTCAAGATTGAAATTACATGAAAGAAAAAGGCTACCCAGATTTCGCCTAATGGATTTTGCCTAACGAAAGCCCAAGAAAGCGAAGCTTGCGCCACACGTTCACAACAAAGCGTTAGGCAAAATGCGTCAGGCGAAATGGGAGGCGGCGGGGGCAAACAAAGAAAATGTGTTTTCGCAAAACGCAAGAAAAAAGTTTGTATCACATTGCCAAAAAAATCAATTAAGAGTTGTGGATTCGGCGGGGTGGTGGGGGGATTTCGGCTTTCCTAGAAACGCCTTCTATATACTAGTTAGCCCAGCGGTAAGGACGACACTTATGGTGCTTTAAAGCAGCTAGATAACAAAGATTTCTTTTTCTATGGCTGCTGTGGCATCAAGCTCGGGCAAGTTCATTTCGAAAGATTTTTAAGTTTTCTAGCCAGGGTAATGTTTCCATTGTTCTCAAAGAGTAAACAACGCAGCGATTCAAATGACGTCCCGACCCCAAAAGGTATTCAGCTATCACACGGAATAACTTTTGTTTGAAACGGCATATATTAAAAAGCTTGGCTGGAAATAAATTTAAATTTTTGGCGCTTTCTTGGCTTTTAATGTTGCCAGTTCTAAGCTTTCGTTGTCTCATTCATTCTTGTAATCGTTTTTTTTACTAAATTTTCATTTTCCAGGGTCAAGTTCGCCTCTCATCAACAAACATCACCAAAAATGACGCAAGCTCGGATGCAAATGGTTGCCGATTTGGAGGTAAAATTTCCAATTTTTTGGTTCAAACTTTAGACGTTTAGTATTTTTCCTGTGATTCGACAATATTGTCAATTTTTAGATCGAAATGTAATCGGATATGTATAGGAGAATGACCGATGCTTGTCAGGAGAAGTGCATAGGTTGCAATTTTAAGGTTAGTTTGGAGAATTTTGTCAATTCAAATAGATTACTGAGATAGATGGGACTAAGTTTGACCAACAAAACAAGAAACGATAATCAAATTTTACTCAAAGTTGTATTTTTTCGCATCGTTACATTCAATTTGGATAATTTTATTCATTCAAGTAGATGACTGGGATAGATGGGATTGAGTGTTAACAAGAAAACAATCAACCAAAATCAAATTTTTACCCAAAATTATAGTTTTGACGTTGTTACCTTCACCTTTTTGTGTTTTGCCTTAAAAATTGCGCCGAGTAACTGCAATTTGAATAGTTTTATCTGATTTTTTGATTATCTACACCTCTTTCAACTTTTCTACTTAAGGCGATCTGACAAAGGGTGAATCAGTTTGTCTGGACCGGTGTGTGGCCAAATATTTGGATGTTCATGAGAAATTGGGCAAGCGGCCCACATCAATGTCATAACAAGATGAACAGGTGAATGTTTGAGCAGTGTGTGACAATGAAATAAGCAAAAGAGCTATAGTTTTGCTAATTTTGCTCGAAAAAGCTGCATAATCAAATTGCGAGGATTTTTTGGTACCAATTGGGCAGAAAACAGTCAAAGTTGACTTAAACCAAAAAAGCTTGAAAGCTAAAAGGAAAACAAAACCAGATAGTTGATAAGTATTTAATTTTTTGATCGTTTCTCTTCTAGCCACTCAAATCGTTTCATTTAGGCGTTACAAAAAGCGTCGGCTGTGCAGAGTGAATCGTGAAATAAAAAAAGAATTGAATACTGAAAATCTCACATTTTTCTGCTCATTTGATCTTTTTTGTGTTGTTCTTTAATTTCATTTGCGTTGTTGATCGTTTTTCTTTTGTTTTCCTAGTTTCTATTTAGATTTAGATTGAGAGCAAAATTTTGTTAAATGAATTCTTTTTTTCAGATAAATCTTCTGTGGAGGCGGGTGTGTTATTTCTTGTCGAAAAAGGACCGAAAGAGAAAATGGCGGTCGGTCTTAAAGGAAAATTTGCAAAAAGCTTTCTTTTTATGGTTTAAACAGCTAAATTTTGGTCGGTTTTTGGTTTTTAAAATGAAGTTATGCTAAAATTTCAACATTTTTACTTGTAAAATCGCGTTTTCTTTAAGTTTTTAAGGGTAGATAAGAATTTTTAAAGATTTTTTTTGATATATTTTCCTTTGTTAATCCGATGAACCACCGTTCCTCAAGGTCGGCACCGAGGTCTCTCCGAAATTCAAAGGAGGTTGCTGCGAGGCGAAAGTAAAACGGATATTCAAGAACATCAAATTTCGGGTGAGTGAGCTTTGCTTGAGTTCAACGTCCCGTTATCAAGGGGAAAAGATATCTTTTATCGTTTCCCGTCACTCGGAAACGTTGGAATATTTTGTCTTGATGTCTTGATTTTTGTGTGTTTGCACTAGAAAATGATGGCTTTTGTTGGTAGTGGCTAACCAATCTTTGACTCTGGTGATGGGGTTCAAAAAGATTAAAAAAATTGGCCTTTACCAAGAAAAATTGGATTTTCATCGTTAAACTTTAAAACTTTAAACTTCGTTCCAGCTAATCGCTTTTCCCACAAAATCTAACGATTTTTTTTATCGGGCTCTCTTTTTTTTCTCTTGGTGATTTCCCCCCTCTTGTTTTTCTGGTAGAAAGCTAGGAAGAAGTTGCATTTTTTTGGAAAGCGAACCAAAATTCGAAATTTCTTCCTAGATTTTAAAGAGTCAGTCACCTTTATGGACTAATTATGAAATTTTAGGCAAAGTCGCTACGAAGAATGAAACGAAAAGGACAATCATAGATGGGGATTAGGATGGGCGAAGAACGGTAAAAAGTGTGTCTTGGAAAGATTAAAATGAAGGCTGATCCTTAGAATAAGTACACAAGAGAACGGTAAAAGTAGACTTGTCTAATGAGTATTCGTCATGTGGCAATCTCTTTCTTTCAGAAACTGTCCGTCAAAAACGAGCCGCCGCTCAGGCTGCTGCAGCCGCGCTGGCCGATCAAAGAATCAAGGAGACTCATCATTGTTAGAATCATTGGCTCCTCATCCAACTGGATCTTCTGAAAATACAAAACGACTCACAAAACGCTTTACAGATGATCGGTAGCTCAACATACTACTTTATGAATTATTTCATCTCAAGTCTGGTCGCTATTGTACAGTATCCATTCGTTGGCTACTTCTTATCGAATGTGGCATTGCAATTGAACTCAAAGGTCTCCACATGGATTTACACGTTTGGGCTGAGGTTTTGCTGCATTTTCTCAGTTTTAACTTTGATAGCTTTGTTTAGCTAGCTAAACATGGTCTACCTCAAAAAGAAAGTCTCTTCAAGAAGTGAAAAAGAAACGTACAACTCAGCTTCTTTCGCCAAAAGTACAATGGTCACCAAGACAAAGAGCTCTATTTCGACACCCAGATTCTGTTTTCATTTGTAGTTTCTCAAAAAAGTTTCTTTCAATTCAGTTTATATAAGAAAACACAAGGATTGCACATAACACTCGAGAGATATTCTCGTTTTTCAGTTACAGAAGGCTGCTCCATTCACGCAGTAACCACCATTCGTATTGCCGTTTACCTTACAACAAGCGGCGGTCCCGTTCTGAAAATGAACATTTTTGAGATAAGATGATAAGCGCAAATTGTAACAATGAGACTCTTTTTTCTAGATAAACTTTTATCCCGCCCTTTTTATACTCTATCTTCGATACTTTTATTCAAATTCCCAAAACTCACCGGGCAAGAAGGGTTACATTTCGTGAAAGCTTCAGCGCTAATCACGGAAATGCCGGCTGGAATTGTTGACTAATTATTAAAGTGAATGACAAATCTGGAACCTACTAAGCAGTAAGATTTGAAACCTTGCTCGAACATGGTATCACAAACACTTTTACGCTTCTATAACATATTTCTACATTGTCAGTACCCCGATAGAACTTGAGTAGAGTTTCTTGTCAATTGTTTTGAGAAATTTTGAGAAAAGACTCTCCATACAAAATTTCTTCTAATAGAAGTTTACTACGTATTTTTTGCCTATAGAGAGGTGTTTTGCTTGAATGCTTTATCCCTGGTGTTACTGTGATACAATGGGGTACGTGTCGGTGTAGCTCATTGGTGGAGCGTTCGCTCGGTAAGCGGAAACGGTAAGTTCTGCTTAACTCTACGGATTGCCTAAAGCATGGGAAAATTCATTTCTGCAGCCTGCTTTTGTTTCCAAGAGTCACCCTTGAAATTTCCAATCGATTTCAACTGAATATTCCTTTCTTATCTTCTTTTCAAACTGGACACGGTTGGACACGATTCGGCCTCACCAATGGTCTACTTTGGGAAATTGCCGAAAATTGAGAAATTGTTTTCAAGGCTTTTCAAATCTTTCTAAATCGAATCCAAGTCTTTCATCACACATTTTCTTAATTGATTCAATAACGTTTGGTGTTATTCATTTACCATTTAAGAGACAACATTCGATGCTTTTAGTCATTTAGCAAAGTCAAAAGTTTTCGTTTCCAAGGCTTTTCAAATCTTTCTAAATCGAACCCAAGTCTTTCATCACACATTTTTAAACTTCCAAGTTTATTTCAAGGTTATAGGATTTTTTTTTACATTTAAAGTTGGTTTTGGGTACTGATGAACGGGCCGAAAATAAAAAATTCACAAAAATTCGCGAAGTTGTCGAGGTGCTCGTCGTTTGGTCGATCATAAAAGGTAGTTTATGGAATTAATTAACTATAACTAACTTCTCATCTATCCATGTACAAAGCTAGTCGATAGCCATTTCCAAGCAGATCCTTTTATGTTGCCTTCTAAAAGCAACAATCTGGCTTTTTGGCTCACAGCCTAGCGATATAGGGCCAGTAAGCCAGGCTAAGCCAAAAGTTAGGTAGTAAGTCAGGTAGTAGTAACTACCGTAAATACTCTAATAGAAGTGCACCCTCACCATACAAAATTGGTCACCCAAAAAGTCACCACTTTTGAAAAAGATTTTCGCCGAAAAGTGCTTAGAATGGTGTATATGGGCCATATGTATCCCATTGCGTGAAGATGGTTCAGTATTGTCACATGATCACACTGTAGTTGACTAGATCAAGACTTGTTTGTTTATTATCTTCTTTAATAAGATTAATAATTATTTAATAAGAGCCGATTTATCGAAGCTACGCGGTTGACCTGACCTCGGTTGCTCCTCGAGCGAAAAGTCATTGATTTTGAATCAACGGTACCATCTTTGAATTGTACTTAGACTCACTGATCCTTCCCCATAAACGTCATTTATTTCGGTTTCCGCAACTGGGGCTGAATAATATTTTTTAAGGCGAAACAGTATCTTATGTCGTATATGCTGCTTAGGCAAAACTTCGGTTGCTTTCAGAAAAAGCACAAAATAAAAGAGAATGAAGCAATATTACATTTGGATTTTCAGCAATCAATAGTAGAGAAGGGAAGTAAACAAAATCTCATATCATTCTCTGCTCTCAGAGACCTTGAGAGAGAAAGTCAAGAAAAGGTGTCAAGACTACTTCACCAGCCTAATAAAATTAAGCCGATTAGTTCCGTAAAAAACGCGCAGGCCTTGACGCTTTCTTCTTCCTTGCCCAGAGCCACAAGGACCTTAAGAGCCACTAGGCCCGGGCTCGTCGGGCCAAAATTGTCCCCTTTTTCGAGCTATTGGGTCTGATTCATCCTAAAAGTTTCTAACAATGATTTCAATGAGAAATTAAAGATTCAGCAGCTACTTCAAAACACCGGTAACAGCGGATCTTGATTGAGTCTAGGTTGGATAAACGATCTTTCAGTAATGATTTCAGTTGTTAAAACGTAAAAAAAAGTGATTGGATAAATATTATTTTCGACAAAAAAGCATTTTGATTTTCTTGACATATGGATCCTCAAAAAATCGAATTTTTCTAACAAAAATTTAGTTTTTTCTCGAAATTCTTCTTAAATCTTATATAAATTCAATGATGGAGTAAAAAGGATGGAGAAAAAATAAAGGGCATATCCTTCAATTACAGTATTTTTAGTTCTTAAAAAGCAAAACCACTTTTCGAAAGATTTTTCAGGTTTTTAGTTATGCGCATTCTCGTAACTTTCAAAAAAGGTCACTGCGCCACTGCGCCACTGCAAAAATCTATTTTTATTTATTTGCAGAAAAAACATTTTCAAAAAAGAGCGTGGCTCGCAGACGAAAAAAACGCTCCGGTTTCGAATGGGTTAAAGTTCCTTAAATAAGTCCGCTTTCATTTTGGTGCAAAGACTCATGTTTTTTTTTTGTTATTTGATAGTGGCTTTCTAACAAATTTGTTTATTGTAACAAACAATAACATTAACTAAAAACTGATTTAAACAATCTCGGCATCATCATACAGATTCAAAGAATTAAAACTTTTGTTAAAAAATTAAACTGTCGATATCCTCAATTTCGTTTTCATCATCTTCGCCAAGAGCCTTTACAAAGCTATGTACGATTGTATCATCGGAAATGGCGCCAAAACTCTCACTCATTAGTAATGTTGGCCCTCGATAGCTCGATGTCTCGATGGTTTCTTTTTGTTGATTTGTCGTATTCGAACAGCTTTCTCGTCTCTCCTTTTTCTTCTCCTCTCATCTTTGGACGCCGATGAGGCGGTTGAACGAGCCGGTGACGGAGAGATGTGTTCTCTGAAACAAATAAATATAAATTTAAGGTAAATTGTTCGGAAATGCTTCCGATAAAGTCTATTTTTTCTTTAAATTGAGTCATCCTTTTTTTCCTGCAAAAATCCATCCGCGATTTCCCATTTCCAGACGCCAAAACATAGACCTTTTCTAAACATTTCCCCCCCTCGACTTTTCCGTATATATAACCCTCTTGTGCTTTAATAAATTATTCTGCCTGAACCAAGGGATACGGACGCACACTATCCCCAACATTGGTGCGCAGTCCTGACCGATCATCTCTCAGCTCATCTCTTGTCTCTCGTCGCTTTCATCTCTCGTGGAATCTACTTCAGGCGGGAGCCCCTCAAATTCTTGGGGAGGACCGACTGAATAGGGGTGATCCCGAGAAATTCGAGAGCCGATGAGAAGAGACCCAATTGAGAGGAGGCTGAAAGATTTATTCGGCTGGACCCCCTACGAATCGAAGACTCGTCGATCCCGCAACGGTGTCAGCGATCAACCAAGAGCCCAACAAGCCTCATCAAGCCCACGGAAAACCCGACAATCCGACCGATCCAGCAAGAGCGTCGTGAAGCGACCACAAGCAAGGATCCCGAGCTCCAAGTCAAGCTCACCAAAGCCTTCATCTATAGAAGCCCTCGTCGAAGGTTTTCTCGCCCAGCCAGCCGAAGAAATCGCTCTCCGTCTGGACTTCAACGACAACTGGATAGCTGTCACCCAATTGCTCCGTCACCACGCCGTTCCGTCTGCAGTCGCTCGCCACTTCAAAAGAGCCCTCGCGATTAGAAGACGAGAACAATCCCCGGTGACCCATACAGCAGAAAGCCCAAAGGACATTGCTCCATCCAGCCAAGAAGAAGCTCCTGAGAAACATCACGTTCCAGCACCCATTCCAAACGGCGTGATTTTCACAACGCAAGAAGAAGCATCAGGAGAATATCGCGTATCAACGCCGATTCCTACAGTGGACTCAGACGTGATCTTCAACCCAGAGTCAAAAAGTCAACCTCAAAGTACTGAAGAAGCAGTACCCGGTACAAGCACCACGGTCGACGCTTCTTGCCAGACATCACCAAGACGAAAAAGAAAACCTCGCAATCGAGGAGGGAAACGACGGGCAGCACAGGCAATTGCTGCGGCCGCCAGAACCATTCACCTCGATTCCAGCCGGCTCACCATCACCTTCAACGATCGACAGTAAAAGATGACTGCCGTGATGAAAGGGAAAGTAACCAGAGCCGTCACAAAAATCAACGGGATTCTCGATCGTGTCAAAAACAGTGACGAATCACTCGAAGGCGACCTCTTGTCAAACGACATTGACAGAATCAACAAAGCCGCAAACTCGATCGAGACATTCCTTGGTGAAATCGTATCAGCCCAAAAGGAGATGGACGTGGCCCAGAAACAATGGTTAGACTACATCGCATCGCTTGGCGAAGAAGCACGGGTAAAGGAGGCGGAAGCAATGGAGCGACATCTGGATTCAAGTGATGGAGCCAATGAAGCGCTGGAGGCAGCTTCAAAGCACGCGGTGCTATTGGAAAGTCTCAAGCATCGTGCCCACCAAGCACTCCGAGAGCTCTCCTCAACCATCACCACTTCCTCACCCACAATAACTACCCCTCTTCTCTAC